ATGGGCCTCGGCCGTGCCTTGACGCAGGTGGCTGCGCTTGGCGTGCGCTGTGGGTCACCCGCTTCTGGGGCGGTGGGCCCAGCTCTTACCACACTGCCGCAGGATGGAGCCAGGTGCGGAAGATAGTAGCAAGACTCCGAATTTTATAGGAATCCAGGGATAAAACACCGCCACCCGTCACACGCACGCAGCGATCCAGCCCCGGGTGTACACTCCGGCGTCTCTGTGTGCGCGCGGTGGGTGCGCGCAGGCACAGGAGGTATGCTTGGATTAAACTCTTTGAGGCAAGATCTTTACCTTCTGAGTGTTTTGTAAAGAAACTAGTTTGTTTGAGGGGCTGAATGAAAAATAAATATTGTGGTACTGGAGAGGCCGTGCATGTGTTTGATTTGTATCTTGCAAATTCAGCATAGCGTGGACTAGAAGGGAAAAAAGGGCAACCAGGAAATAATACAAAAATCAAGCTAATTGGGGGTCAGATTTGTCAAATGGTGAATTAGAAATTATGGCCTCCATGGTTTATGCTGAGAGAGACCTGCCTGGCTGTGTCTGCTCAATTTTGGCAGGTGCTGAAGTGTTGATCTCCAGTGGGAAAGAAGCATGCGCCCCTGGTGTAGGTTAAATTCAGTACCTTTGGTGGGGAGAAGACCTCGGATCACATTTGAAGGAAATGTTATTCTTAATATAGTGGTGTTAATGGCTTTTAAGCTACTAGTCTTAATTTAGCCTTTGACCCAAGAGACGTTTCCAGGATGGAGTTCTAATGCATTCGTATAGTTACAGTTTGAGAGGGAGCGAAGAGCTCTGGCTTCTCTCTGGCAGCCTTGTATGTGAAAGGTGTTAACGATTAACATGAAAGGTAGGTGCAGTGTTAGGCTTGCGTGGTTTCCATATGGAAATGGAGGCCTGCCCAAAAATAGGTCTTGATGAACTCGTCACATGCTGATTGCTGACTGAACAGAGACACAGAGCAGTAACTGTTTCGGAGCATTTCAGATGCTGACATTCCAGACATGGTTGGTTTTGTTTATAAAAGCATTAGTTTTTTTCTGTTTTCTTTGCATAAGTTTGTGTCACAATTTCACCTTCTCATTTGATTTGCTTGTGGCCAAAATAGCATTAGGTTTTCTTTTTTCGAAGAGAAGTAGGACCAAGGAGGTGTTTGAACACTGCAGTGAAGATAACTAAGAGCCTGAACTGACCAGAGCTTTTGTCAAAATAAGGCAGGTACATGTTTATATATTACAACAGCAGCATGATACCTTTGTAAACAATTTTTTTTGTAACTTATGAGTTCTTTAAATATATTTTTTTCTTTCTCATCTGCAGTCATGAAAACTGCAAATGGTGTTATGCACTTGTATTACTGTAACCAGTTAAAGGCCTGTCTTCTTTTTAATCCGTTGAGGTTTTATGAAGACTTTCATTTTATAAGTGGATTTTTATGTTTGTGGACATTGGCACTACCAGCAAATGCAATTGGTTTCTGGTGTTACTTGTCAGAAAAATGTTTCCATTCTAAAGTTGGCATGAATGGATGTTAGTAGGAGACAGAGAACAGTCACACTTGTCATTGCTAGCTTCATCCAAAAAAAACCCCAAAACCGTTTTGCCCACTTAGGCTGCCTCAATGTCTATTTTTCAAAATTTACTCATCTGCTGGGATATTACAGCTATTCTTAAGGATACAGACTCATCTGCGTTAGAGAACTCCTGGATCACTGTGATTGTATTTGCTAATTTGGTATAGTCCAGTTAAATTGTTGCAACTACTTTATCCATAAAAGGCCTGTGCTAATATACTTTTCAGTTAATTTCTCATTCATTAAATCCTGACAAAACTGTCGTTGCAGACTTTAGAGTGGAAGATAATCCTCCTGAAAAAAGGAGCGGTGCTTGCTTTTGTGTAATTTACGTTTTGAGTCCGATATTCCCTCTCCTCTCACAACAGGCTTTAAGCATAGAGTCATTGCTGCTGCGTTCCTAATCACACATCTCGTTTTGTTACAGTAGTGTCCAAAGTGGCCATTATAGTTAATTGTACTTTTTCTGTCTTAAAAGATGATTGCATTTCTCCACCAAAATGCCTGTGGGCTGGAATTATGTGCAGTAATTTCCTGTGTAGAAGTAACAAACCCTTGCAAATCCCATATACAACAATCCTTGAATTATATGCAGAAGTAATCCGTTCTCTGGATTTGGAAGAACTGTTCCAACTCTAGCAATAATTATTTCCTTCTAGAAATTCTTCTTTTACCACTTTAGTTGGGGAACTGCAGAAACCTTGTCATTGTTCAGGAAGCAGCCTATGTGTTAAAATACACAACTCTTGAGGTAGCACGCAGGGCAGTTCCTTGTGATGCATCTCTCATCTCCCTGACTGAAACTTCGTAACGGAAAATAACGCACGGCACTGCATATACCTGCTGGAGGTGTATAAACACAGGGTTTATGCAAAGAAAGTGTCTTCCTCGTAATACAGGGTGGCTGGTGTGTTGGTTTTCCGCAACGTTGCCTAAGCGGGAGGTTTGAGCAACCTGCAGGATTTCCACTTTGTCCAATACCTTCATGTCATTCGTTGGAACTTAGCATCAGCAGAAATAGTGTTGGTTAATATGACATCACGCATCTATCCCTTTCATGTAGTTTGTGAGTTAGTGTTTCAGACATACTAATGCTGATTTAAACATACTAATGCTAATCTAAAATTCATCAGCACTTAAAAACCCCAAAACAGTCTAGGCTGCAGTGCCGCTGTAAACTCACACGGTCTAGGCTGTGCACTCCAGCAACTTTCCATCCTTTAGAAAGGAAAAGCTTCTTTTCAGGCAGCAGCAAATGCTAAGCAGCACACATCCCAGCTGGTGCTCTTTAACCCAAGTGTTTAGCTAGCGGTGGGCTCCCATTGTTGCCAGCGGGCTATTTGCATTAGGTTCATAGTGCTTCTATTCATTGCTTGAAGGAGGATCAAGACAGGTGGAAAAAGGAGGAGGAGTGGTGAAAGTTGAATGAGATAGATACCCAGAAGCCAAACTTTTTTATTTTGCATTTTATTTGATGAAATAGACTGTTGTAGCTTTTGTGCTCCTGTGAATACATGCCCATCTGCTCTAGGATGCTTGTAGTTACTCCTGGTGCCTGTTCAGCTGTTGGCATGTTCAGCACAACCGAAATTCTCCATCAGCTGCCCCGTCCTCCTCCAAAGACAAATAAAGGTCAAGCTAAATTTCAAAAGCAGCTAGGCATGCAACTGTCAATCAGATCGTGAACTTGGTGAAGCTTTTATGCTCTTTGCTATAAAAGCAAGTTTAATTTTAGTGCTTTTTAAATTTTATTGATACTCAGGAATTGCGGTGTACCTTCACGTTCAGCCCCCAGCTGTTTTGATTTAGCTTAGCTTTAAAAAGTAACTGTCTAAGGAGTCTCTTGGAGCGGTCCTTCCTTAAAGTGATTGCTGCAGCAGAGCGTGGCTCAGAAGGATAAGTTCCAGCAAAAAGAAAAGGAAAAAGCTATACATGAGTTGAAAGCTTTTATTGAAGTTATATAAGCATATTTATAGAAATACTTGAACTTTTGTGGTTATTGCTATGAAACATTTATAAAGGAGACTTCCAGTGAGGCTCAGACTCAACTATTTAGCACTCTGGTTAAAACTCCTATGTTTTTTGAGGTGTATCTGATGTATTCCTGAAGAGCACTGGAAGACAGACGGCTCTCGATAGACAATGCGTGAGCCTTGGGTTGGGTGCCGTTCTGGCGCCCTCTGAGAACACTGTGGTTTGGTAAATAGTGAGTCCTTGTTAAAACAGCTATAATCCGAGATCCATCAAATTCATGGTTTTCTAATTGACAGCCACGTGGATGGATAACTGTTGGATTCCTTTTGTTCAGTTATATATATTCTGCATGCTTTATTTTCTGACCTTAGCTAATGGGAAAAGCTAGGGAATACAATCCCTAGTATCTTGCAAGTGTTGGGGTGGCCCCGATTTCATCTTTCTGGATTCAATTAAACATCTTGGAAGTGCTACACTGCATGTTGGGATCCTTATTTAGGTGTATTGAAAACACTGATGCAGCTAAGAAAACCAGGGAGGTTTTTGTTATTTTAAAAATCAGTAGATTGTGTTACACTTGAGGATAGAAATGAATAGCAAATGAGAATCGACCGAGGGCTTGACTTTTATGCCATTGGAATCTCTCAGAGTTCTGTTGTTGATTTCCACGGGAAGCAGGATAATCCATCAGCTGGGATCCGTGATCACTTCTGCTGCAAACTGAAAGCTATCTTTCTCTTCAGACTGGGAATCTGCAATTAGAGTTGGTGTGCTGGATTGTGGGGAAGAAGAGAACTATGAGACGTGCAAAGAATATGGTATTCACTATTACCCAACTTTTAGGGTAAGTGGCATGGTATATTGCCTTAGGTAAACGCTGCGTACTTCAACGCAGTTAAACCACGACTCGTAACCAAAACTGTAACAGCCTTGCTCGTGCAGGGTGGTACCTGTACCCAGTTGTTCTTTAGCTGGACTTTTTCTTCGCTCTTGGTGACACAGCTGCGGGCTTGATAGATGATTAATTTGAGGAGTTCTTGCTGAATGCAGTAGCTGATGCAGTTATTTATAGTTTTTATTTATTCATGTTCAGCCCTCAGTTCTGAATCTGAAAAATTCATATTGAAAGAAGATACCATTCTAAGAAGTGCCGTGTTGTTCCATTTATGTAACACCTAGTTGTGATATAGTTGTTTTATAATAATAATTTGTATAAATATTTTTCAGATTCAAAGGTTCATGATTATTAAGAGTGTTTTTAGGTTTAGTATGTGAAAGTAAAGGTAATATATTGAAATTGCATCATGAAACCAGCTGATTTCATGACCAGGGCTCCAATTAAAAATTTACCCTTGATTGACCCTTTGCTATTTTTCTAATTAATTTCATAATTTGCTTAAGCTGGCTTTTATAAAAGGGATCTCGTGTTTGCCAAAAGTATCAACCACTGTTCATCTTCAAGTCTAAGCGCAATTTTTAACTTTTCTGTCAGTCTGTATAATCACATTATTAACCATAAGTGTAAGCAAAATGTGATGGAGAGAATTGGATAAACTGAGTCGGTTATGACAGGACAGGGAGCAGCAGACGTGTCACTGTAGGATTTTATCTGCCCTGATAGAAAGAACAATATTCTTTTTTTCAGCTGTAAAGCTTTGGGTATAAATTGGAATGTGCTCTTTATTAGATGCTGAATCTTTTTTATTTTATTTTTTGTCGCATGAGGCAGTCAAGCTCCTTTGTATTTCCCGTTTAACCACTGGAGGGAGTTGAGAAAATGTGAATAGTGTTCTAAGTATATACACAGTTGGTAGTACTGATTCCGTAATCAGTTAATTCTGTTTGGGTTAGTGTTCGCAGTAAAGGATCAATATACGGTACTGAATTATGCATCGCGGTATTTCTTCTCCAAAAGTTGGTGGTCTTGTATATCAGAGCTTCAGCTGGTACCTATGAGCTACCCTTGTTGCAAAGCAGGTCTTTGGAACTCATGGGCTAAGAGGGCGAAGTGACTTCTGAACAGAGAGATGAAAGTGTTTTGTAATTAGAGCTGTAAAAGGTCTTGAAAACCATTTTTGTTTCTGAACTGAGCTGTTGTCTTATAAGGTGAGTTATTTTAAAAGCAATAATACTTCTTTTTTTTTTTTTTTTCCTACATAGTACTTCAAAGCATTTACAAAGCAGTTTACTCCTGGAGAAAATTACAAAGGTAAGAGTATCCTACTGTAAGGAATCCCCAAAGCAGTTATCCTGTCAGCCAGGAGTGTGTCGCACAATAAGCAAAATCAGTCGCCTGTCAGGTAATTTAGACAGAGATGGGATGGACACTAAATAGCTCTTTAAGATACAATGCTACACGTACTGTCTGAAAATGGGATGTCAGGCAGAATTTTAGACAGGCAAAATATATGTTCAAGAATTTAGGCATCACAATCCTAATTTTTTTTTCTATTTTTTTTGAAAAGTAGTTCTTAATTTTCACAAATGGCCAGATAACCTTTTAAAATTCCTTTTTTCCACCACGTGCCTCATGAGCATACCATCCAGTTTGCTCAATCCTGACTGGTGCTTTTTGATCCCCTGGGCATCCTGAATCTCACTGGCAGAACCCCTATTCAGATGTTGACTAACTGAAAACAGGCTTATCCCTGTGTCTGACAGGATCACAGCTTGAGGTGGTTTGTCTGGGGACAAAAGTGATGTTGTCTTTTTCAATGGATTAACATTTAAAAGGCCAGAGGTCAGAAGAGAGACCACCTGCACCATTAACCCTTCATGCAGAAGCAGGCCATAGTTGTACCTGTTACTGTTTGGAATTTGTGAGAGTTTCTGCTTTTTAATTGATTTCTTTTAAAGCAAATAAAATTTCTCACACTTCAGTTATTTCCTCATGTTGGTGCGTAGCGCTGTAACGTCACCTGGCCCGTTTGGTGAGAATGGTACACCTCTGATATTTTTACTACATCGTGAATATTCTTACTGCAAAAACGTGGCTGAAGTTGTCCACACCAACATACTGTGAAGATGAGAGCAGGTTTAGAATGAAGCATTGTTTGAAGAGAAAGCCAACAAGGCAGGCAGATGGTTAGATTTGGAAAAGTCTTGAGGTTCTATTAATTTTAGGATGGGATGACAGCTTTTAAATATCATCTCATCTCAATATTAAATGAAATCCTATGACTAAACCCTTAGTCCCTGTTTTTCAGCCAAACAGCATTCTGGTTTTTTGAAGTCTAAATTTAAAACAAAAACCTAACACAGAAAAGCCTGAGAATACATGAAGACCTGCATGTGAGTAATTTTGTTCCCAGTTTCCTGAAGTGTTTTGGGTTTTTTGTAACCTGTACTCAGCAGGAGCAGATCGAGAGCTGCAAACGGTGCGTCAGATGATGATTGACTTCTTACAGAACCATTCCCAAGAGCTGAGACCGCCAGCTTGCCCACCATTGGATCCAGTTTCGTAAGTTCCTTGTTTAAAATGCAGCTGGTGCATGCTTACTGCGTGAATTAAATAAAATGTAGAAGGTCCTATTAAAGATGAAGTAACCTGTCTTACTTCTTCTCAGTTCTGCTGTCAGACTGTAAAAGGAAATTCCATCAATAGCAGTGGGTGTATTGAATTCCATCTATGGTAAATAGCTTTTCTTTTCTTAAAAGGTCCAGTGATATTACTTCTCTCTTCAACAAGAACAGCCATCACTATACGGCCGTTGTGTTTGAAAGTAATAACTCCTATGTGGGACGAGAGGTAAGGTACGGCTTTGGAACGACATAACGCGTATGAATGAATGCTATAACACAGCTGAATTTCGTGTTATTTTGCCAAGCAACAGAACTTCTGATTGTAGGACTGAGTGAAAGGGTCATAAAGGGCAGGTCATGCATATCTGAAATATCACAAAGTCAAGGGATTATATAGGGTTGTTGCATTTAGTCACAGAGAGGAACTTGCTTACAAATGAATGGGATGTCATGATAACTTGTTCCATTCATGTTTTAGTGGAAGATTAATTTATCAATTTCCTTCTTAGCACAACTCTTTTTTCTTTCAAGATTTGGAAGATCACAACAAAAATATTGTCAGATTATGTTATTGTTTTGTTACTGCTCAAGAACCATTCATAATATTCATTCATCTGGGCAGCTTTTGTGTTTTCAGCTGGTTATAATAATCTAAATTCTCTTCTCTTTCTTCACGTATAGGTTTTAGGGAATTACATTCTAAAGTAAGATGATGGCACAGAATTATTTTCACAGCACTGAGGCACTGATGAAAAAGAAGTCTTTGGGTTTTTACTTCCCCCACCCCCCCAATAAAATATTTTATTTGGCATCATTTCACCACCTAATGAGCCTGCTGTTAGCTTAGACAACTGTTACTTTTCTCTTCCTGCCAAAATCCAGGATAAGTAAAGAAAATAAATTGCATAATTATCTAGGCATAATCTGTGTGGAAACATCCAATGTCTGTGAAATGTTTCTAATTAGATTTGATGCTGGGATGGCCCAGTAGCATAAGTGGAGGAGAGTGTGCTGCCAAAAGCGAGAATCACTTTGGGAAACAGGCTGCTTCCAGACATTTGTTTTCTGGAAGCTGCTGTGTTGATACAACTGGGCATTACTGAAGAGATGTGATGATTATGAAGTTCTTCAGCTTTTTATCATGCCTGCTTTAATTTTATTACCTGCTGTTATAGGGAAAAAAAAAAACAGAAAGTGGAGTCTGCTTTCAGAAGAAAAAAATAATTGCTAGTGTTATGTAGTATTTTAACTTTATAGAATGGTTTAGTGAAATAGAAAATAACACTCTGCTCAAGTTTACAGTATAAGACAATGTGGACAAACCTAATAGGAGTCAGAACAGCTGAAGAAAGGAAGTCCATGCGCTTACCGCTGATGAAAGGAAGGAACAGAAAGTGGAGTCTGCTTTCAGAAGAAAAAAATAATTGCTAGTGTTATGTAGTATTTTAACTTTATAGAATGGTTTAGTGAAATAGAAAATAACACTCTGCTCAAGTTTACAGTATAAGACAATGTGGACAAACCTAATAGGAGTCAGAACAGCTGAAGAAAGGAAGTCCATGCGCTTACCGCTGATGAAAGGAAGGAAGGCACGGGCACGGTCTCTTAAATTACAAATTTGAAAGTGAGGGAAAATGTAGCAAAGACAATATTCACCTGAAAGGGAAAAGAATAGCAGAAACTTTGAAACTAAAACCAGCTAAAAGATCTAGACGAGACAGAGAGGGGTAAAAGTAAAAGAATGACAAGTAGAAAGGTAAGAAGAGACGGAAGCATGGGAAGTTTTCTAGGTAAGAATGGAACGTTTGGTAATGTAAGAGCACAGGATGATGGAAGAATGTGAGGAGTGTGCTCGTTAGGATGGCAAAAGAGGATGCCTTTAGCTGTGGGATCTTGAAGGGTTTACAAAGGGAAGAAATGAGTATTTAAGCTATTTTTTTAAAGGGCAAATTTTCATTCATTATAACCGAGTCATCATATTTGTAGGTACAGCTTTAGCTGTAGTTGCAATGAATTTAGGTAGTTGATTCCTGGCAAATCTTTGAGGCATTCTCATGTTAACACCCTCTTCTGCCTCCTCCATGCCACCCTGAATTTTACAGCCTGCAAAGAATTTTGTGCCCACTCCCAGCTGCTCTAGCGCAGAAGTCCAGCATCATGTTTAAACAGCTGATGAAGATTGGCTTGAGCTAAGATGCTGGACAGTGAGTGGATCTTCTGAGATACAGGCACCCATCCCTTTATGGAGTGTCTGCTGTGGGCTCGGTGAACAAAAAGCGCTGAACAGGCAGCTGGGTGCTATGACACCACAGCTTGATCTGGCAGGGCTTGCCAGGCAAAGCCTTAAACTCCTGTGGAGCCTTTGTTTTTTAAGTCATGGACTTTGACATCAAAATGTTGTGAAGTGGTGGGACCGATGTTTCTTCACTACCTGAAAATTTGCCTCGAGGCTCTGACATACATAACACGAAACATAAACATGTTGGTGCCTGTGGAATATCCTCTGGGCTATTTTGAGGTTTATGCGGACGTTTTATCATTCATTCTCAGGTTTTCTTCAGATGTTAGACTTCAGAGGGATAAGGTTGGGATAGACCAAGGAAAGAAAAAAAGGAAGACAGGAGTAATAATCTCCAGAGTAGAGTAAATCTTCTTTAACTGAAGTTGTTAGTGTCCACAGAATACTCATGTGTGTACTTCCTTGGTGAACAGCTTAATGATACCCTTAAAGGATGATGCACTTCACCTGCTCATGTGTCTTGTCTTACAAGGTTGGATATTCCTTGAACAATGTATAATTCACGTCATCTCTTCATTGCCCAGGTTATCTTAGACTTGATCCAGTATGCAAACATCGTTGTAAAGAGAGCGTTGAATTTTGATGAGCCTTTTCTCAAGAAACTTGGTATTACCTCAGTCCCTTCATGCTATCTGATGCATCCAAATGGCTCCCATGGGTTAATTAACATGTAAGTAGTTACCTGCCTGAGGAATATGGGGAGGTTCACATAAGCTATAAAAAGTTTCCCTAGCTTCCTTACTTTGTATGACAGTTATTCTATAACCTTTTGCTTGCATGTAACGGTGTGTCCTGGCATGTAATCAATACGTTGTACCGACGGAACTTGTGTTCCATTTCTTTGTGTTTCACAATTGCCTGTCTTGATTGCTCTTAGTTCTTAGAAAAACTTGCTTCTAGGTCAGAATACTTGTTCCATGTGAACATTGCCTGTGTAAGGCAAACTGACGTTTTGATGATATGTTCATACTTTGAATGGCATTTCAAACCACTAAGCCAAATGAGTTATTACTCTTCCAAAATTGAACTTTATTTCATTTCACTTTGTATCAAAATGTAACATGTTGCACTAAGTCTGAAAAACATGAATTGAATATCTTATTTTGTAAATATACTGACTTGCTTTGGATATTCACTTGCCTGAGATTAAAAGTAATCTTTACCTTGTCCATTTATGTGCAGTTTGAAGCCTCTACGGTCTTTCATTTCTTCATATTTAAAGTCACTGCCAGGTGTAAGAAAAAAACTTCTTCTGCCACTCCAGCTGCCTGTTCAAGAAAAGAAAGAGGAGGGTACAGAAATCAAGGTGTGGAAAGAGTTCGATAAGTAAGTGATACCCTCAAATTTCAGCTTAGTGCTTGGTTATTTGCTTGCAGTTTTTTTCCTTGCCTGATGGGAAGCTTTTGTAATTTATTATAAAATGCTAGTGCAGTTCAAAATTTTATTTCATTCCAAGGTGATGCACCTTGAGTTGAATAGGTTGGTCACTACTGAATGATCTGCATTCTTCTCCTGAGTAAAATTAAAGGGGTTCATGCTTAATACTGCAGAAATGATGGCACCAAAGCTGAGAGCAATGCTTTCAGCTGTTGCTTCAACTTCATCCATTTCTGGCTGTATTCAGGTAACACTTGTGATTTACTTCAATTCCAGCATCGAGGTTACAACTTCTATACAATCATGAGCAGTGTTTCAAAGAGTTCAGAGGTGAAATTATTGCAGGCTTTCAGTATTTGGTTTTTAGCAGCAAGCATCTGCACTGCTAATGTTTTTTCTCCAAAAGTATTGTTAAATATTTCGTTGACTTAATATAAAGGCTTATCACCCATTACCTGAGGTATGTAGATCAAGGATTTGAAATGTTGGAAAACTTCAGCAAGTAATCAGTGTCACTGAAAAAATAAATAGTAAAATAAGAAGCGATAACATTTCTGTAGAAAACAAGAATTCTGTGTGTGTATAATAATGAAGCAGTGCCCGATAACAAGTGCTTGTCACATGCAAGTATAATAGAAAATGCTAAAGTCACTGTAAAATATGTTTATCGTACCAAATCCAGTAAGGTTTATCTTCACCCTCATTTGAGGAAAGGATGCAGAGGCTTTGCAGAGAGATAATCCCTCAGCATCTTTAGATGGAAAAGATGCAAGACTGAGTGCTTTCATTTTGTACTTATTTTCCTTTCACAGACACTATTAGTGTCATCTTCTTTCAATGACTATTGTAACATATTTTATATGAAACATTCTGTTATCAAAACGATTTTGTTAAATCGAGCTGTTTTCCAGCAAGACAAAATCTTGGTCATGTGAATCTCAAGTATCTTCTAAACATGATTCCTTGAGGGAACCTCATTCGTTCGTATGGATGTCTCTGTTTAAGAAACCTGAAGCAGAATTTTGCTGTTATTTTAAATTTAAGTGAGTATGTTACTAATTAAGGAATTAAATTCAGAGAAAGTGTTTAGTTTGAGTTGTTAAGAATATAGATTATTCTGTATTTTAATATATTATTTCCTGCATGTTATTTCAGAGATGGGGCCAGCCAGTTTCTTGAACGGTTCTTTAATTCTATTCTTTTAATTCTACTTCTTTTTTTTTAGAAATAATGTGTTGCTGAAGTCTTACAAGAAGTTTTTAACTCTATTAACTATGTAAACGTCTGTTTGGTTACGTTGCTCTGTATCATACTGTCTGAAGTCTGTACTCTGGAAGCATTGGAAGATTAGGGCATTTTCCTTGATGTATTTTAACTTTGCAAAGTGGTTTTTTGTTATTATGAAGATATTTGGTTGTGGGAAGGAACTCAAAATCTGGGATTTGCTTTATGTGTTTTACTTGTACCTGTCATAGGGTAACTAATTTTGTCTTAAGGGCTAGTGTGGTTAAAATGGGGTGTTAAACTTGTATGCAAAGAACCTACAGTGAAACGAGTACATTTAGGAGAGGATTTCTAGATTCAGTCCTTTCCAACCTTTTTTCCGACTTGTTTGCACTTCTGCTCTGTCTATAATCTAGTTTTGTTCAGCACAAGTCTCCCTTTTTGCCATAACGTGTCATTTTTCTGTTTGTGGTCAGTCCTGAAGAGAAGCTATAATTTCTTTACGCTAGCTGGTTCCTTGCTGACAATGTCAGCAATGTTATTTCATTACACGGTAAAGCTGGCTGGGAGGCAAAAAGTTCAGTCAAACCAAAAAGAAATTCTCCTGTGTGGTTATGCTTCATTTGTCTAAACTCTGAACAAAATGACATCAAATTACTCTTTTAAGGGAGTACAGTGACACTCATTGAACTTGACATTCACCATACCGAGCACCTGAAGTAACTGCTGTGTCTTCCCATACTGGTACAGGATATACTGCAATCACCGTGGAGTGGCAAATGTTGAGGTTTTAATGACACCTACTATATATCAATTTTACCTTCATGACTGGTGAGAAAATGAGCGAAAGAAACCTGCCACTTTATAACATTATATATGTGTGTTTCAGATCTAAGCTGTACATGGCTGACCTTGAATCGGGATTGCATTACCTGCTCAGGGTAGAGCTGGCTACGCACAAGACACTTGAGGGAGCTGAGCTAAAGACCTTCAAGGATTTTGTTACCATCTCTGCCAAGGTATACGCTTCTAGTCTTTGATTATTTGAAAGAATAAAGTGACTCTAACATAAAATTTATTATGTGACATAAGTCTCTCAAATTGTCTTTCAGAATGTTTAAATATATGCTTCCTCACTAGCTTAAAAAAATAGTTCTGTGGGTTTCTTTAAATGTTATTTCTGAGTTATTGTATACCAATCTGACATACTTATAGGGCTGAAATGCATTTTAATTTAATCTTAGAGGGTTTGAAATTAAATAGTTTAAGTAGTCTGCAGCATATTGAACAAACACTATAAATACAGTCCATTTATAAGATTTTCAGGATAAGTAGCTATTTTAACTGGGTGGGATTAAAAAAACCTTTGGTTTTCATGCTTGACTTTTGGATTTTTTTAGTGCGTACTTGACAAATGGTGTTCTATTTAGAGATACTAGTAACTTCTGTCTAAATTTTGAATATATTTGCGGTATTTGAGTGTTTCAAAATAATTGAGGTATTGAATATAACTGAATATTTCAGAAATAAAGATGCTTACATATTACCTTTGAGTGAAGGGATAATATATGAAGTATAATGCGATACAACTTGAAAAAAAATGAAATAATTTAACTTTAGAACGTCATCCCACTGACATGAGCAGTGTCTCTTTATATTTACTTACTGAGCAGCTAACACTTTGTTTTATTTTAAACAAATTGAATCAATAGCTGTTCAAGGGAATAATAAGGCCTATATAAGCTATTTCCAAATATCTGGATTTAGCTGAAAATCAGACAGACAGTTTCTTGCCCCCCCGCAGCCATCAGTGGTCAGAAATCTCTAGCTGGCCTCATTTCTTTAAGAAAGTGTAGTGGTAATCTTTCCATCATATTATCCCTAAAACATCCTCTGTTCTTCCTGATGGCTCCTGGCCAGCTGATGTCATTTGCTTCCCTGGCTATTAGTGCATAAATAGGGACTGCTCTTTTTCAGTTGCACGCTCATCTCCAGCCTGCCATTACACAAGTAGGGGCTGCTGGCCTTTGCTTCCCCTGGTCTGTAACACGTTCCTTGTAGTTCTCATTCATGATTCTCGGGTGTTTCTGTTAGGAAGCTTTCTATGCTATCCTCCTGTGTAGCAGCATTTATAGTGATGATAAATCCTAAGTCACAGAAGTCTCTAGTTCCCTATTTGGGGAATTTTCTTTGTTGTAGAATTAGGTTTTTTGGCAATCAGTGCTTCGTTTTTGTGAATCCTCGATGAGACTGATACATACCTGGCATACTGTTGTCTTTTAGATAGTAATGCATGATATTCTGGGGCTCCTACAGGAGTAAATGAGATTATAGCATGCTGTCAGTACTTCAGAGGTGTGCTGGCTTTTTGCAGACTGAGGGTTGACTTTGAATCATAGAACCTTTTAGATTTAAGATCATCAGGTCCAACCCAAACATTGCACACAGCCCCTTGTACTGGAGACAGTACAGTTAGCAAAAGGGAGTTCCTGTTCATTAGGTTTGCGTGGTATCACGTAAGCGGTCTGTGAATTAGAGATACTATTGCTAGTTGGGCAACGGCTGCAGAAGGACTAGCATATGTATAGCGTGTGCCATCATAAATTGCTTTATGTATTTAATGCAGCAGATACAGGGGTTTTACTTCCCCATCTGTTGAAATACTGCTCCCCCTGGAAGGGTACTTAGAGGATGGTATGCACACTCTACTTAATTCTATAGTAATTACAGCCGTCGCTAAAGGAAGATATGATTTCAAGTGTAAAATAATGGCATTACCTCTGACTTAGAGTTGCTCGTGCTCATCTGCTAGATTTGGCCTTCTTTAAATTGCAAGTTAAGGAAGTCACTATTTCCAAATCACTTTGGAAATCACTACGACACATACAGAAAGGAAAATGCTCTTCTAGATAACCAACATTGCCCACATGTACAGAAATCTGAACAAATATTTTATAGGCACTAATTTGTGTGATTAATCACCTAAGAGTGAGAAGGAGTTCAGCCTCTGATTCACTTAGGTCTTACACTCCTTTCTGAGCTATACGCTGAGTGGAATTACCTCAATGCAAAATTCAACGTGAACTGTCAGAAGGTGTTCTGTAGCATTTCCTCCTGCTATTGAGTAGCTGCATTTCACTGGTTAACGTTTTGTGCGTGCAACTTGTTAAATTTTGCTTGCGAAAGTGTGTGTGAGGTGGCTTTTTACTGAAAGCAGAACAAGTAATTAATTTGCTCGTAACAAAAGAAAATCTACAACATTTTAAAGATGGGAAAAACGCATTTAGATAAAGGTAAAATCTCTGCTAATGAGATTTGTGCTTTAAAATATGGGTATTTTCTTCTTTTCTCAGCTTTTTCCTGGCCGTCAGCCTGTGGTAAAGTTGTTAGAGACCTTGCAGGAGTGGCTGGTGAGCCTTCCATTAGACAAAATCCCTTATGATGCTATCCTAGATCTTGTCAACAACAAAATGCGGGTAAGCTGTTACTAGTTTCCAGCATAATATACAGCATTAGCAAAGGATAAGATTCTAGATAAATCTAAGACATCACTTACTGATGGTCCCTCAGTCATAATGGAGTTGTAAGAAGGTTAAAATGGAAATAAAGTGAAATCATTACCAGAAAAAAAAATCCACACGAAGGAATTGTAATGAGAGAATTGAAATACACAATCCATCTCAGTTTTATAGCGAGCGAGCACTCGCCGGCGTATTCGTGTGCCCTAACGTCAGCTTCAAATGATGCAACATTCCCAGCGGATATTTTTGAGTTGCCTTTTCTTGCTGTGTCTGCTGTCAGCAGGATTCTCTTGAAGGTCAGAGTTTAAGTGATGGGAAATTTACCCACTGAAATGGGCCTTATTCCTGAAGAGTTTCCCCAAATACTCTATAATTCCCTGGCACAGTAAAGGCCTTGCTAGGAATCCAGTCTGGCTGTGGTAATGCAAAGCCCTGTGATAGGGCCACCTCTGTACAGAAGTTAATGTGGATCTTTCTTCCCGTGACATGGGATTGCTATCTGAAATTTGGAAACCTCCTGTGTATTTTAGGAAGCAGAGAGATAAGTCTCAGAAACCTAAATCTTGCACTGGACTTTGGGTATAACGTACAAGTGGTGGTTTTGTTTTAGGAAGAAATAATAATGAGTTCTACATCCTAGCCTGTTAAGGCTTCACCACTGTAAGTCACGGAGATCTTGCTGAATAACATGGAATTTCTAGAGCGCTTCAGTTTCCCTGAGCACACAGTTTACAGCAGGATTTGTGCATGCACTGTGTTCATACTGTGCTTAAAGAAACTTTACAAGTTAAGCTACTTAATGTATTCTGTCAGACTAGTTAGACATTTGTGGTGTGCAAATGCACGTGCAATACTGAAATTAGTAGGTTTGACATCAGTGATTGTACGTTGTGTGTCGTGTAATATGTTTGCAAGGGGGATGAGTTTTATAATGGTGCATCAGAATATCATAGAATCATAGAATGGTTGTGGTTGGAAGGGACCTTAAAGATCATCTAGTTCCAACCCCCCTGCCATGGGCAGGGACACCTTCCATAGCCCAGGGTGCTCCAAGCCTCATCCAGCCTGGCCTTGGACACTCCCAGGGATGGGGCATCCACAGCTTCTCTGGGCAACCTCTTCCAGTGCCTCACCACCCTCTCTGTGAAGAATTTCTTCCTGACATCTAATCTAAACCTCCCTGATTTCAATTTATACCCATTCAATTTATACCCATTACCCATTATCTCAGACTTAAGGATTGTTGTAAGTTTAAGATTTGTTTGCCTTAAGCATGAATTCATTCACAAGGGCAGAGAGCCCCGTTTACTGTTCTTTATCCTTGGATCACCTCAGTTTCCAGGTAGGATCAGCTGTGTTCAGTTGTGAATTTAAGTCCCAGGGCTGCATATATCTAAAATACTCTCTTTTTGGGTTTTGGGTTTTTTTTTTCAGATTTCTGGGATATTTCTCACTAAGAAAATTCAATGGGTCGGATGTCAGGGCAGCAGACCAGAGCTGAGAGGTTATACCTGTTCCCTTTGGAAGCTGTTTCATATCCTAACGGTACAAGCTGCACTGCGACCAAAAGCTTTGATAAATACAGGTAAGCAGCGGTGATGTGTGACGCTTGAAGGACAAGACCAATTCGTGCAGCAGTTCTGCTATGCAATAGAGAAAGTAAGGGATTAGAGCACATTTTTCAGTCGAGGCTTAGCCTGCAGGTTGGTACCAGCAGGGGTCAGAGCCTAGCTTTACTGCAGCTGCAAGACTGGGTAAGAACAAGGCAATTTGTCCTCGCTTAGAAGCGTGATAAATAAAGTACACGGCCCTAAGGATGGGAGCAATAAAGCAGAAAAAGGAGAGAATTTCAAACAAAGAAATTCTGAACCATCTGAAAAGGGATGAAGATTGGTCAGGTTACCTGAGGTTGTACTGCTGGTTTAATTTAAAAGGAATGAGATTTAACTGTACAGTTTAGTCACTGTAAAAGCTGTAGAACCATTAGCCAATCCTGTAATTTTATTTCTTAAATACCAAATGTTGTGCCTGTTTATTTTTCAGCTGAATGTAGCTCGTGTCCATTAATCTGTGCCCTGATCTACTACTTTGCAAGCACTCTGTTCAGTTGCTGATTTTTAGACTTGCAGTATCTTGTGAAGCAGAATGTTAATATTCCGGTGATGATTCCTGTGTAAGAAACATGCAGGATATATAATCTGTTTTCTTTGCACAATGGCAATAGAATTACTAACGCTAAATATTAGCCTTGTTGTGTTTTTATTCTTGCCAGGACAGTGCTTTGTTTGGTTATAGTTCTATTTAGTTTTTATTTAAAGCCTTTTTAATTTTTTTCCAAGGAATAGAAGAATGTTAGATGGACCATTACTAGATCATAAAACTCAGAAATTTGCAGTTTGTGAGTTGCTGATTGTATGTTTAAAAAAACCAATGATTTGATTATTTCAGATTATGGATACATTTGTCCAGAATTGCTTGCCATCGTGGTGAAAGCTTCTCCATTCTTAATGCTGAACCTCTTTCAGAATAGGATGCTTTGGATAGCTCACAATCCTGTTGTTGATTTTTTGTTTCTCTCTTTGTTTTGTCTTATTTTGTTTGTTATTCATGGGACGGTAGGTTGAATCCCTTTATTTTAGTTCTTTGCTCTACTGGGTGAGCTCGTGGGATTTTGTACTGGGTGATAGATCAGCTGTTAAGCAGGATCGTGCACAGGTTAAATTTCCCCTTTTGTCCCAATGGCCAAAATTGTTCTAATTAAAAGTAAAAACGTTCTTAATATTTAACTGGAGAGAATTGCATCTTAAAGTGCTGCCACGTTCCGGGCGTGAGCTCTAGTCAGACTGAAGTTAAAAATACATTGTAGAACCTGAAAACTCTTTGGCACACTTAACCATCGATTTAAATCGGGACAGATATGTGATGATCACTTCTTACGGCGAAAGAATTGGGTCAGTCTGAGACTGTCGGATTATGTCTTGGGAGGTTTTCCTCTCCTTATTGCTTGTTTAAATCCCATCTACTAAAAAGCATGATGTACTCCCTAATCCTTCCCACCACAGGTAGGGTTTTATGGTTCTTGTCCACTTTAAAGATTAGGGTTACCCTGAATTGCAGTAGTTTGGGAGGAAAGAGAAAAGGAGGATTACACGATGATACATGGCAGATGTTAATAGAAGATTCATCTCTGGGCTGATAAAAGAAAAACAAACAAAATGAGCCATTTTGCAATTGTTTGTTTTCTTTTTGAAGCAGCTGTATTTTTCTTGATGGTTTTCTCTACTTGCAGAGTCTGGCAGTCAGCGGGAACTTGCTGTGGCTTTCCCCGTGTGACGTGTTTATTGGTTTCTATTTGACACGTTTTAATGTTGACGGGTGTAATTTGAACCTGCAGTGGGATCAGCGTAAGGGAATCCAAAGGAACTCTGGACACAACTGCCCACATCCCAGGGTGTATAAAATCATTGTAGAAATCTAGTCCTGAGCAGGCTGAATTATACGAAATGTGGGTGTAGGTAATAGGATCTATTGGGGTAAGTGAGACAGGCTTGTGGATCTCATAAAAACATTATCAGGATTCTTTTTGTTGCTGAATTTGAAACACCTCCCCACAAACTGAATTTTCAAAAGCATAACATTGCACAGGAGAGCAGATACAATTAAATTTGGGTCTGGATCTGTTCCTCCATGAAGAGGTTATTTGCTAGTAGTTACTTCTGTGGTGTTTGTTTTTTTTATAAATATATATTTTAGTCTACATGGGAAAACTGTTTTGCCCGAAATTCGTTTCAACTTTCTAAAATTATTTTTCAGCCTTTCTTTTAATACTGTAATTTAATCTGCTTTAATCTCATAGCTTTTATTTATGTGTGCCTGTTCAATCACAGATATTGAATGTCTGAGTAGAGATTGTTTGCTTTTTGGATTTCTTTTTGGCTTTAAAGACTTTTTTTTTTTTTTTGCTGTCATATTTAAGACTATAATGTTGTTCTAAATAAAGGTGTTTGTGACAGTCTTCATAAACACATAAACAGGCTTAATTTTTTATATTCAAAACAGCCAAGTGCTCTCACAGTTCTGAGAAGGATTTATTGAGGATTTTTTCTTCTCCAAAAAACAATGCCTGTACAGAGGGCGGATGTGCTACCAAACTGTTTGTTATTTGCTACCAGAACAGGACAGTGAGCAGAGCACCGTAACCTTTTACTACAGAACCTGCTAGACCTGCGTTGTAAATTACTCGTGGTAGAGCTGTTCAGCTGCAGGAGTCGGTAATTTGATCAATCTGCATCATAAAATGTGGTTCGTTTGACAAGTGTGCGTTCATGATAACGGATGGCACACTTGTAAATACGTTTTGGCATCATTTACTGGGTCAATTAAGCGTGAATCGGAAAATCTGTGAGACGGAAATGAAACCATTAAGATTTCAGTGAATTGTACCAGGTTTTCAAGACCCTTAGAGATGCAGCGACTACCTGCTCTCGCAATGAAGGACAGAGTTCTCAGACCTTATCTGAATAAAATAATGATTCTTTGGCATTATCTTTCATGTAATGTCGTAGAATAATATGTTTGTATTTATTTTAGGAAGAATTCCTGAGTTACTCTTGAAAGTTCAAATGTCGCTGAGCAGCTACTATGTGTGTTCAGTGTCTCTGCCAGAACAGGTGTGGATTTAAGAACTGTAACAAGATTCTGGTATTCTGTACTACCTCAGAGTTAGAGTAACACACAGGTATCACAGGCACCTAGTGAAATACTTATCAGAGGGGTTTTGACTCTTGGTTTTTCAGTAACTTTAGTGCCTGAGCATAAAGGTAATGGTGAACGCACAACTTCAGTATTCATTTGGTGATTGGGGAAGATATTGGAGAGAGTCTGTACTTCCAGAAGATCTGTGAAGTATAAACAGTGTGGACTTTGCACGTTTTAACAATTTCAAAAGGTAGTCTGATAACGGGCTTCTGAGAAAAAACTCATGTCTGATTTTCATTTAGGTAGGTTTGTTCCCTGCTCCTGTTGCAAGATCTTCTTTGAAAGAAGCATTTCACTGGAACGAATGCTTGGCCTTTAACTCTTGTTTTAGTGTGTTGTTCAGGGTAACTTTGAACACCATTGTCTAGACTAAATGTGTTGATATTTTGCATTTTTAATAACACGATCGCTCACTTGGCATTTTTTGGACCTTGGTGTGTTTGTAATAATTCCCCCCTCGTTGTGTCTGATGTCCCAGACAACCTTACAAACAGTGTTTTGAAATGTGCTGTTTGAGATCACTTCCAATTCTACCTTACCAATTGCCAAATAATTGGGTTCCTAAATGTCTCAACTACTAAGTGACAATATTATATATGTGTTTTGTTGGGGAGGGGTGTTTCTTCTGAACTGTGTGAAGCTCTTAGTCCCTGATATCTTTGCGACTTACTGAGGCACAGGTTCTGTGTGACGGCAGATATATGGTGGATATCTTTAAATTATGGAAGTGGCCAGTTTCTTATCCCTAAAGTGGAGGTGTAGGTTTGCATGGAACAAGAAGACAGCAGCATTTCCTTTCCCATTCCCACGGTTGGCTCGTATGTACGTTGAAGTGCCTGTGTTGAAGCTGTGTTTGTCCAGGTGGTGCTAAATGCCTCTATCATCGGTCTTCCTAGGTCTTGAAGACAATCCCCAAGTAGTACTTCAGGTCATGCGGAGATACATTCATCACTTTTTTGGATGCAAGGCTTGTGCACAGCATTTTGAAGAAATGGCTAAAGAGTCCATGGATTCCGTTAAAACGTTGGACAAGGCTGTTCTTTGGCTCTGGGAGAAACACAACGTCGTGAATAACAGGCTGGCAGGTAGGCAAGACCTTGTTTGGGAAAACCCACCAAAGGCCTCTGAAAGACAAGGCCGTGGTGTTTGATACGATGTGGTTTGGGTTGAAGAGAGAGATGCAGACGAGGCTCCGTCACGTGAGTTTAACGCAGCAGCCACTGTTGTTCCAGCTTGACATTCCTGTATTAAAAACGCTCTTCAGAAGACTAACTCCATGTTTACCTTGGTGCAGAAGAACGATAACCTTAAGGATGCTTGTGTGTAGAGCAAAACCTAGAGCATCCCAATCAACAACAGCTCCAAAGGCCAACACACTAGTCTTTGTGTGAGTGAGAAATACAGACCTGAGATCCTCCAGCAACATAGTGTCTCTTTGATATACAATGAAAAAACCTCATCATTCTCAAAGGTACTGTTTGCTCTGAGATGTCACCTGTTGCTGATGAGAGGACCTTCCTGAAGTACAAATCAAAAAGGAGCAGTACGGTTCAGCTACTTACCAGTGGATAAAAAATAATTGAATTTATTTCTGTAGCAGTTTAACTAGATGCTAAAACCTCTCTGCATTTTGTTCTGGAGAAATGCTGTATAGAAAATGATGATAATTGAACAGGAGACTTTCTCAGGGTAAAAGAGCCTGAACTATTAGCAGATCAGCAACTGAATAAAATAAAATCACTGTATGAAGAAAAGCTGTTCCCTCAGTAGATTGCTATGTTTTCAGTTAGACTAAAAGTACCATTAAAATACTGGTTGTATTTAATCCGTTCTGTTATGGGGATATCAAGTAACTAAAGCACTAAAGAAAATTGGTTTCTCTTTGCACTTAATCCCTGTCTGCTGTTATGGATCTGCGTAATGTAGCATTACGTACAATTTAAATATGCTATATTGTATTTATATTATAGTTATGCTGAATTCCCAGGATTTATGAAGTATTAAATACTGTTTGGAGTATAAACAGTTTGTCTCTTTTCTCCAAGGAGAAAAAAGTAAATGATGAGGTATTAAATAAAAACATCCGCTAACATTTGTTACTATTGCCAGGGTGAACACAGAAAAAGGTAGTCCCGTTGACTTGAAGTTGCTAAGTAGTGGAGCAATATACTTACTTAGAACATTAAGGTATTGGAAAACTCGCATGGATATTGATTTAGATGATGCAACAGCCGGCTAAAATACCCTTTTAGCCAGAAGTATAAACCTGCTGGAATAAATAATAATGTTGAATTATGCTTTTTAAGTTTGCTAAAATTCCTCTTCGGGACAGTGACTTATTTTAATCCTTAAAAGCTGCATCTGTATTTCTGGTAATAGATATATAGATATAAAAATATATATCTTTCAATGAGAATTGATGTTTTACTGGTCGGTGAAACACCTTGGCACAGCTTTCAGGTGTGGGTCATGAGATGGTTGTGTATGGCTCTGCCCTATTTAATTCTTCCCTGTTGCTTTAGGAGGTACAGAATTTATAGCATTCTTCTCTTTGGCAGAAAAACATGAAGTACATTAAGTTTTCTGTTTGTAATCTTAGCTAAAGATGTTTTGTTTCTACTTCCCTACTGAAACAAATCGATTACTGAGTGATCTTTGTGTAAGATATCTGAAACGCAGACACGCTCTCTTGCTTGTGAATATCAAGGAGACAAATGTTTTTTAGCAACCTCTGAATCCCTAACGATTTTTTGCTCAAAATCATGGGGAAGTTTCCTGCCTTTAAAAAGGGTGAAAATAGTAATTCAGTAAGAATCTATATTTATTTCTGAAATATTTTAAACATTAGTGTACTGATAGCGATCAGCTAAATAGATTTGGGGTTTTACCAGGTAGAGATTTTTGTTCTAAAAATTATCCCCATCCGTATTTTAAAATGTTATGTTTTAGGGCTGGAATGTTATGTTTTAGAGCCACAGTGTTCAGCTCTTTGCCAACAAGACAGAAAGGTGGCCGGAGCTGCGAGCAGCCGAGGTGCTCAAATCGCATCTCATTCAAGACAGCGCTGTATGTTTAAAGGCGGAAAAGCCAGCGGAAAACTGCATCCGGAATTCGACAGCGGCTCTCCGGCAGGCGGTTTGCGCTAGCGATGGCGCCAGCCGTGAAGAAGCAAGCTTAGGGTGGGATGGCGCGCGGTGTCGAAGCGTGAGGGTGCCTGCAGGTCTTTGGCCTTGAAAGGGCTCGCTGCACACCAGGCGCGGGGGCTGCGGAGCAGGTTGTCTAGAGCCGGAACTCGGGTTAACCCCTGCAGCGCCCAGCTGGTGTTTTCATGCCGAACGGAGCAATCGTAGTGGTGCCTTGCAGTCGAATTTGAATGCTGCAGCTTTTACTGAGAGAAAGGAAAATTATTCCAATTTAGCATCTGTCTTTTGGAAGAGGAGGCAGTGCTTTGGAACGTGACTGATGCGTCCGTACGGAGACGCGGGAATTCCCAGATTTGTTCGCAATTGTCTCTGGTTTAACACAAACATCGTTGTGCTGTGGGTTTTTGTTCCAACCTCGCTGTTTGAGTGGAAAATACCCCCTGTGGTTTCCAGTGGAGTCTCTGATGGTTCAGCTTTCCTGGTTCATTCACTTCTGATTTTCTTTTTTTTTTTTCTCCTCCCAATTAGGTGATTTGACTGAAGATCCAAGATTTCCCAAAGTTCAGTGGCCAACTCCAGACGTTTGTCCTGCGTGTCATGAGGAAATTAAAGGATTACACAGCTGGAATGAAGCCCAAGTTCTCCAGTTCATGAAGTCTCACTATAGCAGTGAAAATATTCTGTATAAATACATGGAAAACCAGGCTGACTCCAGTGAAACTGAGCAGGGAAATGCAGGGGAGGTGAAAGACAAGAGCCTGCCGAAGAAACCAAGCGGAAACAGAGAAAATAAGATCCAGGATAAAGCAAACATGCTAGATTCAGAATCGAAGGTGTTAGATAAGCTAATAGCAAATCACGGACCGGTCAAAGAGAGCGGTAAAGGCGCAGTTGGATCCGCCAACCTTAAAGAGACGAAGCAGGCCGTGTCTTTCTTGGGGATTGGATTTTCCAACATAGACATGAGTCTGTGTGTCATCCTGTATGTAGCATCGTCCTTATTTTTAATGATAATGTACTTTTTTTTCCGAATGAGGTCTAAACGGTGGAAAGTGAAGTATTACCGTTCATCTGTATAGAAGTTTAAAGCGGAAACCAAGTTTTCATTGTATGTGGCTGTTCAGTACCAGATACAGCTTTAATATTTATGATCAGGGATTTTGTATACAGTATTCCTTGTTTAAAACCCCTCTTTTCCCGAGTCATTTCACCAAGTGTTCTACCTTCAGGTACGGAGCTCGCTGCAAGACCCCGGGTCTTTAACTGAGGCACACGGTGCTGTCCTCATGTGGCCACTGAAGTCGGCGTCGCGTTTTGCAGTTTAGGCTTTTCTGTGACTTAACCACCTCCCTCCTTTACTCATTTTCAGAGTAAACATTACATTGTGCAATCAGCTGTGCCTGGTTTTAGAAGGAAATTGGATATTGTTTTGTGTACTTCAAATCAGGTTGTTTTTTCATTTATCCAGAGCTGATTTTTACCTACCAGAGTCCCAAACAGTTACGCTGTCACCTTGGCTGCTTCATTTCGAGAGGCAAGAATTCCAAATTTATTTTTTTTTCTCCCCAGGAAACAAGAGTTCTATTCTGATTAAATCAATTCTAAGCCTACGTGACTTTCTCAAATACTATTTACACTGCATATTGTAAGTAGAAGGCATTACGTGTTCGTGCAAGTCGTCCATTCTCCCATGCGTTCCAGCCAAGGATGCGTATGTCCCTGCTAGGATGAGCGTTTTGGGGCAGTTTGTCTCAGTAAGCAGCCTGATTCTGGTTGTTAATGCTGTCATCGGTTTTAATGGAGAGTAGATGTAAGCAAGGACAGGCTGGGACCCAGCGCTTAACTTGCTTCGCTGGTGGATGTATTGACGGAGCGTTAGACAACTCGCCTCGCTCAGCTACTTTTCTGGTTCATAAATGAGTAATTATTGTGCTACCCAGATGAAAGCCAGTTCTGGTGAACTCCAGTGAAGGGAAGCGGTGGTTTTAGAGAAGGATGGTGCTATTTGCATCAGCACGCCAGAACAAACTTACAGATCTGGGAATCGGAAGTTTCTTACAGGGCTGGGTAACTCCGTTACAATATAGTTGTTCTTGTACGGTGGGGCAGAGGCTTCACTTGGTATTTCCGGTGTTGCCTGCTAGCTGTAAACTTGTCTGTACCGTACCTGAACAGTCCACTTCTCTTCCCCTTCTGGAATGCTCCCCTGCTTGGGCCAGGAAGGGTTTAACTGACAGTTAAGTCCAAGAGCTGCTCCATTCTGGGATGTGGAATATGGATGTGGAATATTGCCTTTCCCGATGCGCCTGGGGTCCTGGCTGGCAGCAACTATAAAAACCCATGAAACCAGTTCGGAACCGGAGTTCCTTTCTGATCCTAGCTGTGGGGATAACTCACGTCCTGGGTAGTGAAGTTTATAATCCTATCCAATGTAACTGAGCATGTTCTAGTTATCCATTACCTAATCTTTCGTTAATCCTAATAGGTTTTGGCCTCAATGTTTTCTTGTGGCAGTGAGTTCTACAGATTAATTATGTTATATAAAAAGGCTTTTCCCTTCAATTCTTCATTTGCAACTTTAATTGAATGTTTGCTCGCCCTTCTGCTGTGAGAGGAGGAATAAACAGCCCCTGGCCGATCCATTGCATTTACGCTGGTGGCCTGTCCTCCTCTTCCAGCATAAGCCCTGGTGTAAAAAGTTTAAAGCCTGGCAACAAGAATGGTCTAAAAGCACAAAAACTCAACAGGGATATTTTGTCATAATCAAATCACGTTTATCCACAAAACCGAACGTTTCTGACCCGAGTTTCTGCAGCTTCTGATTGGAGTAATAAAATTGAGCTCCGGAGATTTTACTGTCCCTTGTTCCGTAAATTCATCAAAATGACCCACACGTGAGGTGATAACCGTCTGTGGTGGTTGCAGACGTGTGGCAGGGGGGAAACCTCCGTTCCTGTGACGCTGTCGGTCTGATGCGCACGAAGAGGCGCGTTATCCCTGCTTTTCCTAAGCCATCCTCATCCGGTGTATGCGCCCAATGTCTCTTGCTCCGGTGAGGGAAACCTGACTCCGTGCTCTCTCCGTGGAGCTGGAGGCCAGCTCCTGCCTTCTGCCACGGGCTGCCTCCGCGGAGCCAGGAGCTGCTGGGAGCACCTGCGGAAAGCTGCTCCTGCCTGTGGTCTGAGGGGAAAGCTTCCTTGGTTCAGGCTGTGCTCTTTAAGGATGAGCTCGTCAAGAGTTCGGGCACGAGGAGCAATCGTGGGTCTCCTTTCTGTAGGAATTTATAGAGTCCCTATAATTACAGGGGTTATAGTCCCTATAATTATCTTGAATAATGAAACAAGTTGTAAGCAGCCGGCAAGGCAGAGACCCAGCGGCGGAAGGTGGTCCAGGGCTCATCGCTGCCGCTCGCTTTGTGCTGGAACCCTGGGGGAGGTTAGCGAAGGGCAAAGCCCAGAGGTTCCTAAATTCGTTTTGAAAATCAGACAACTTTGGAGTGACCTAATCTGGGGACATGATGCTGTCTGCCAACAGGCGAGGGCATTTGGCTTCTCAAAAACCCCAAACGCCGAAACCCCAAACCTGCAGCGCGGCAAGTGTTGGGTCTGGGAAATTGGGCCGGTTTCTGTGGGACTGTTGAATTTCCTGCTGCTGGTACTGCTGCACGGTTTGAGGTTGAAAACCAGTTATCGCTCACGTTTAGATCTCCACCAGACGGAGTTTGTTGGCTTTGGCTCGTTCTGCTTGTCGCCACCTGCGTGTGGAAACAACAGGCCTTGAGGGTTTGGAGGGCTGTTTCACCATTAAAATGGGAAATGTGGGCTTGGAATGAGGCTTTGGGGCTTTTCCTACGCACCATTAACCGTCCTGCTGCCGTGACCCTGCTGGAAACGCGACAAGGTGGACCGGTACTCAACCCCCCCGAGTTCTTCATGGTTTCTTCGGAGCGTAAAAGCACGGAATGGGGGTGCTGGTGCTCTGACTGTTGAACACGATTCCTGTTCACGAGTTGCCTCGAAGCACCATTTCCTCCGTCCTGGGGGTCTCGTCTGCCTCGTGTCGCAGCGCAGAAGCTTCTGCGGCACCGCACTCGCTTGTGGGTCGAACCGTGCTGGCGGCGGTCGTGTCCCAGAAGGAATTCTGGGCCCCTTGTAATTCATGGAGCCTTTGCTCGTCTTTTTGAAGAGGAAATACTAAACCTGCTTAGAAAACAAGAGGAAAGCTGGGGAACATGCTGGGAAAGAAGCTGCAAGTGCTAAAACCTGGTGAAGTTATTCCTGCAAACGCTTAATTTTTAGTTTCCAGCGGCATATCCATCTGCTGTTCCTGCTCGGATCCGATGGGAGCTCCCATCTTCACGGGAGCCCCGGGGTGTGTCGCTGAGGCCCGTGCGTTGCGTATGAGGTGTTGAAAATAGTGAATAGACAGTAACTTAAGTGTTTTATTTATTTTAGTTCGGTCACCTGGCGTTTTCACGTGTATTCCGGTTTGGTTTGTGTTTTTCCTCAGTCTCATACCTCTCTAGGAAGGAAAAGTGACCGTTTTGTACTAAACCGTAAACTAATGTGCTTGTTTAAAATAAACTGCAAACATTTGGGCAGAAAGTGATGCGTTTGGGGCTCTTTACTTGTGTTCTCAAGTTCTTTTTAGCTGAACTGCACGGCCGGGGCAGCTTGTCTGCGCGTCCCTTTGACACCGTATCCGTCATCTTACGGAGGTGTCCAGTGCCGGAAAGTGCCCGGAACAGGTAAACCCACGCCGTTTCTTTCCCTGTTATCCCATGGCTTTATGAAATGGAACCGGCGGTGGAGAAGTTGCCAGTTCTGACCAATTATTTTCTCTCTCCGTACACACGTACGCAAATCTTCCTTCCCCGTAAACCCGGCGGTGGCGGTGGGGATGGCGCTGACCTCCCCGGGGGGTTCCCCATCTGCGGCTCCGCTGGCGGCCGCGGCGCCCCTGGGGGGGTGGGATGGGTGCTTGTTAAAAACGCTGCTTTTCCACCAGCAGAAGTACTCGGATTTCTAAAAATACGTCGAATGGGCGTGCGTTTCCTTGCTGGGCTGTGGCCTTGCCTGGAAAAGCGCGATGTTCTCCGGGGACTGGTCCTGCCGGGGCACGGTGAGGAGTGCCCTGTCCTTGCACCCAGAATCGATACATCCGCCCCCTCCCGCTGAAGAGGTGCTGGGAGGGGGCCTGGGAACCCCCTGCATGCTATGATGCTCAAGGAGAGGGGGACAAGGGCCGTCGTGCACCAACTGGCCCAAGTTCCTCTGGGTCTGTCTGCGGAAGAGCTGACAGAAGGGAACGGGGAGGGGAACGTGCTTAATCCCCGTCTTCTGGGGGGCTGCCGAGTGATCCGAACCCAGGGAAGAGAGAGAAAAATAGGAATAATATATGTGTGGGTTTGGGGTTTTTTTTAAATGGTGGCAGAACCACAGGGAGGAAGAGTACGGGCAGGGTCTGATGCCCGCACAGGAGGGCACAGCAGCCTGCGGAGATCATCCAAAGGGGTGTTGGTGGAAACCCGCCGGGATGGTGCCGCAGCGAAAGCGACACGTGGGGCTGAAAACACGCGGGCGCCCCTGGCCGGCACGTGGCACTGATGGCCCGTGGGGTCCGTGCCCTTTGCCCCCCGCAGCCACGGCTGCCGCGACCCTTCCACGTGTGCTGGGGAACAGCCTCCGCCGCGCACGCTTTCTTAAACTGCTTCCTTAGAGGATCAGACTAAAAATCCACTTATAAAACTGAGCTTAAAGGAGACTGTGTGGGTCATCACCTGCAGCCCCCAGAAGCTGTCCATGGCCCTGGGGAGGGTCGAGATGTCCCAGCGCAGCTGGTGCTGGCAGCGCCTGGCA